TTTTTAAAAATTATTATGCAACTGGTCAAATTAGTAGATAAATTGGCCAGATTCAAATTTGCGCTATGCTAGCTTGCTCTGGATGATAGAAATATGCCAGTTGCGGTTATCTGAGCTAACATCAACTATTATTCTTTAACATTCAACGAAACTTCCAGAAACTGTGTGTCTGAATTGGCATCTAATTCGGGTTGCGTTAGTTCCATGGAGCCCACCTATAGTGTTCACACCCTTTTCTATTAAAAAAATTGATTTGCTCGTTTCAAATTCAGCTTTTGACGTATTTTCATTACAGACCTTTAATTGTGAAAACTTCGCAATCAGCGAAAAACCCATTGTGTATTCTAGATAGTTCTAACCATCAGAAGAAAGATTGGTCTGTGCTCCATGGGGTAATAGCCTATTTTGACCAATGTCATGACTTTTTATGCCTACGACAGATAAAGGCTTTTTTTGAGATTTGGTTTTACAATAATAATCAGCAAAAACGAGATGCAGTAAAACAGAAAATCTTACATAGAATATTATAAGGTGTGCTTTCAAATGGTCAATCCAACGGCAGAGTAATAAAGAGGTAATAATTTATTAGAATTTTACGCCATCTATATCTACTATATTCCGCAACAGTCATAAGTGTGACGCTGCAGTGTTTAACAAAATGTAAATTATACGCATTTTGACCACAGCAAAACTGCAAAAAATTTGAAAACCAATCAACAAAGTAGTTTCCATAAACATGCTTGATATTCCAGCATTAGTATGCTTTCGATGTCATAGTGATAGAATTTTCTGCTGAATGAATACTTTTGAAAGGGTGAGCAGCTTTTTGATTGCGAAATTTACTTTAATTCTACTGTGACAAATGAACGAGAAATCCTACGACAGTTTAAGTAGTGTATGAAAAGAACAGGAAAGTGAAGCATAATCAAAATCAATATTTAGTCATGATGAAAAAAAAATTACCGCGAATGCATTGGCAGGGATACTGGGTATGGCAGTGTCTAGGATTGTAAGTGAATCAATCTGAAAAGTAAACTATCTCGTCAAGGTGAAACATTGCTAAGGCTGTTATGAACTAACGGAAATGTCCCGAGCTGGTTGTATAGCTTGTAGAGCATTACTAAGACTGCCAGCATTTTCGCAGATAATGGCAACTGGCTCGTAGATCGACGGTGCGCACCTGCACGGTCCACTAATGGCCGGACACTGTGCTGCTACAAAACTGATAGACGTAAACGATATGAGTAGAACTAGAAATAACGTGCGCACACGTCGCAGCATCGTGCGCAACTGCAGCTCCGCGACGGGGCG